GGCGGCGGCAGTCGCGGCGGGGAGGGCGCTTCCTTCAGGAAGGGGTGGGATCTGCCCGCCCGCCCCCTCCCGCCGCAGCGCGGCCGGTCCCCGACTTACTCCGGGGTCCCCGCTGCGGGGTCTCGGGTGGACGGCGGAGCCCCGCGGTCCCGGCTTCTACCTTCCCCAGTCCCCGGGTGCCTCCTAGTCATTCGGGGCCGCGGCCGGAGGGGGGTGGGTGGACGGTCCAACAGCTTCCTTCCAAAACCAAGGTGGACGCGTTTGCCTGGCGCTCCTCACCCAACAAAAGGCAGAACGGAATCCGGGATTCTCCGCCTGCTGGTTATTTATTCCTGACCTGTTGTAACCTTCCTGCTGGCTCCCTTCTGTCCACACACCTAGGGCTTTGCACACATCAGCTAGGATTCATTCTCAGGCCGCTAGCCCTGTGTAGTTCTCGGTCACCCGCTGCCCTCCCGTGGCTTTCTTTCGTCTTACTGAAGGGACACAGGACCAACTTCTGACCCTGACAATGAACGGAGGACGTCAAGGCCGCTCTCCTATAGCCAGCTCGCTCATCTAAATCCCTTGTATCCTGGCCTAGTCGTCATAAAACTGTATTCATCAGCATTTTTGTGGCAGCCCCCCACCCAGACCCCAACTTCTGCAGTAACTCTCACTGACCCGGAAGCACCGTAGCCCAGTGCTCTTTTAATCTCAGATTCACGGCTAACTTACTTTCCTGGTCTGCTATGTATGGTAGGGTCCCCTAGATCAACCTGCCACACCCATCTATTTAAAACCGTTGCCTCACAGAGTACAAACTTGTAAAGTCCCTCCCCAGTTCAACCTGTTCAAATTCTCCACCACTGGCATGTAATTATCTACATACGTGTTGATTTCTGATCACCGCTTTGTTCTCACTACTGGGCTGTTAGGTTTTTGAGGACTCGGGCCTGACTGTCTGTTTAGCATACACTAAGAAATGGGGCGATTATTTAGGCAGCAAAGCAAAAGTTAATTCTGGCGTCGAGTCCCCTGAAAGCATATGCTGAACAGGGCTAGAGTTTTTCTGAAGACTTGTCTGTGGTTTCTTCAGATTCCTGTGAGTCCCCCAAAGTTAAGAATTGCTTGAGGCCCACCTTGAACCCCAGTTCTGAAAATTCTATCCTTACTCCCTGTCCCCTTGTTTGTTTAAGACAGAGGTAGCCTGTGTTGCCCAGGCTGGCATGTTGACACCAGAGAGCCTTCTGTGGGAGGCCATTAAGACTGCATTTTGATCATGAGTATATAGGATATGCATAAAAAAATCATTGATTCATGTTGTTGCTAGGGGTCATGACCATGGTGGGCTGGGATGGGGGAAATTATTCAAATGCTGATGGATGCATTTTTATGACTGCCTGACCAAGACAAGAGAGGAAAAGAGCAAGCTGGCCCTGGAGAGCGGGTTTTAGCATCCCTGAGGTTTTCTCCTGCCTCAGTCTCCCAAGCGCTGAGGTTTCAAGTGCTTCTGTCCCTCTCTTTTCTAAGTTGACTGGACAGCACGCTATATAGACTTCTTTCTGACTTAATCTTTTAAAACCTGTTTGGTTTTGTGTATACTAGAGTGCCTCTGTTTGGGTGTGTGCACTTGAGTGCAGGTGCATTTGGAGCCCGGAGGTGTCCGGCAAACCTCTGGGAACTAGTTACGGATGGTCGTGAGCCACCTGATGTGGGTGCTGGGGACTGAACTTGGGTCCTACCCGAGAGCAGCACATACTCTTAACTACTGAGCCATCTCTCCAGCTCCTTTAATTTATTCTTCTCTGTGTGTGTATGGGGGTATTTGAGTGTGTGGTGTTTGAGACAGTCTCACGCAGCCAAGACTGGGCTAGGACTCACTGTATTATGTAGTAAGGTTGGCCTTGGACTCCCGCCTCCACCTCCTGAGTGGTAGGATTCTGACCAGCTTTGTTTTTGTCTTTGGAGAGGGTTTGTGTTATGGTTACTATTGCTTGTCAATCCCAAAGAATCCAGCTATGAGACCAACCTCTGGGCATGCCTGTGAGAGATTTCCTAGACTAGGTTAGTTTCCAGGTACGTCTGTAGGATTAAGTTGATTGACTGAACTCCATTCCATGGGCTGGAGTCCTGAACAGAATAGAAGAAGAAAGAGTGAGCTGGGCACTATCATTCATCTCCTTCTGTTTCCCAAACGCAGATGCAATGAAGCTGTCTAGTACCTGCTCCTGGTGCCACAACTCCTCACGGTGATGGGTGATAGGCTCTACCCTGGAACTCTGAAACATAGTCAGCCTTCTTTTCCTTAAGCTACTTTGTCTCCTATTTTGTTGCAACAAGGTAAAAAAGTAACTAACAGCCTTGTGGTGTGGCTGTTCCTGGGAGATGGGGGTAGGGTGTGTGTGTGGGGGGGGGACGGTTCACTAACCTGCTGAAGCAAGGATTCTAAGTTGGGTTTGGTAAAACAGTGAGTGTTTCTTTGGCTTACTTACTGGGTGAGGAACTGCTTACAGTTCTCCTTACTGGGTGAGGAACTGCTTACAGGGGCAAGAACGACTCAAAGGCAGTTGCATAACCAAAAGATCCATTCCAGCGTGGTCAACACTGACACGCATTTTGATTGCAGTAGGAGACCCCAGGCTGCAATGGAAACCAGTGACCAGAAGCCGAACACGATCTGTACCCCATCTTCCTCAGGTTACCTCCACAGCCATGAAACATTCTCAAAGTGAGGAGGGGACTGAGATGAGGGCTTAGTTGAGAACCCTTCTCAGTTCGGTGGGCTTCCCTCTGATTGGTTTCTGCCTTTCACCTATTTTTCATACATACAGCTAGCCAGTCAGGGCCGTCCTAAACCCACTAAAAGCCCCTAGACACAGCCTCTTCGATGGCAAGCACTTTCTCTTTTTAAATGAACATTATTTTAAAAAGAACTTTCAAATAACCAAAAAGACCACGCCAAAATTAACCAAAACCAAACTCTATACATCTTAATAAACTTATATAGATCAGGATAGACATTCAAAATAAAGGCTGCATAGGTTCACGTTAAAATTTACATTTTCAGTATTGAATATATTTTATGCATTTATCCACCACCAAGGAGGAAATGCGGGTAATGGCCGGGGTTATGAGAGAGGATATAATTGTTTTTCTCATTCTAATGCTGTCATGGAGTTCCTGGTTTTGGTGGTGGACATTTTCCAGTCTCCCTGCTGCTGCACTGTGGCCCATCTGCAGCTTTCTTTTTATCTTTGGCTTAGTAAACCCTTGTTCTGCTCACTCCTTTTGCTTTCTTATTCTTATTAGTCAGGAGACAAGAAGTGTGTGGAGAAGGAAGTCTGCAGCGACTCCCTGGACAGAGAGTGGATTCCGCCTTCCCAGCCGCTGCTATTTCTTGTTATTACATTGTTATTCCTTGGGGGCAGGACCTGTGACTCCTCCTACAGCTTTCTCACAGTTGGAAGTTGTGTTTACTTTCTGACCCTTAGGAACTTCCCTGTCCCTCCAGCTTGTGAATCCAGTTAGGGCTTTCTCTCGGTTGTAAGTTTTGTTTACCGTCTGACTATGAACGTCCCTCTCCCTCCAGGAGGAGGAAATCACTCTCCCAGTGGGACACACTGGGTTTTGCAGGCCACAGCTTGCAGTCCGCTTGCCTCAGCTTTCCCAGTATCTGGGATCATAAGCACATGTCATAAATGTGCCATGACTGGATAAGACACAGGTAATTGTTTCTTTAGATTTATTCCTTTTATTGTATGTATACGAGTATTTTGCCTGCATGCGTGCCTGTATACCACATTAATGCCTGGTGCCCAAGAAAGTCAGAAGAGGGTGTTGGATCCCCCTGGAAGTTGAGATGTGGATGATTGTGAGCCATTATGTGGGTGTTGAGAGGCAAACACCTGTCCTCCACAAGAGCAGCAAGTGCTCCTAACCACGGAACCACTTCTCCAGCCCCAGGATGTTTCTGATGAAGAACCAGATATAGTTTTTGACATGAGTGTGAAGGGTACAGCCTTTTTTTGGGGGGGGGTGGGTAACGAGGAAGCCTTCAGTCTGTGAAAGTTTCTTCCTTGTTTCTCAGCAGAAGGGTAAAGTTCCTTCCTTGGTTATTGGTAGAAGGATAAAGTTCCTTCCTTGGTTATCGATAGAAGGGTTGACAAAGCTTGGCCCATGTTTACTTTTGATTTCACCCAGAGCCCTGCCCACTTTTACTTTAGAAGCCAACTTGAGTTTGGGAAGATAGTAGGCTCAGGGCCAGTTATCAGCAGTCTTCACCACTGACACCTTCATCTCCAAAATGTCCATACAGATCAAGCCACAGAGTGAAGGGAATCACGGTCCTGGCAGTGACACCGACATGGAGTGTCATGTTAAAATGCTGGCTACAGAGAAGAGCTCGGCACTAAAAACAGATTCTATACTCATGTACAATACTTCTGTTCTATGTTTTACAGCTTAAGAGAACTGGAGACGAATTACAAGCTTGCCTGTGCTTTTATATTTCTTTAATTGATATCCCACCCATTAAAAATCTGTTGTCTGTGATGCACTTGGTGTGGTTTTAGAAATTAAATCCATATATGGCTAAGTCAGGGCAAGGTAGCCCATAACTTAATAGCAGCATTCATAAGGTGAAAACAGGAGGATTGCAAGTTCAAGGCTAGCCTGGGCTCCATAGTAAGAGTTTATCTCAAAATTAAATAAATAAATAGCTACCTTCCAAGAACCAGTTATCTTTTAATTATTGTAAGATTCATCTTGTACCTTCAAGTAACCTATTGATGGAATTCTAAACCGCTTCAGGCTGTGAGGAAAAGATCGAGCGCAGAGTTAGAGATCAAGTGTGGCAGGAAGGAGGCTTTAGGCCTATTTGCTGGTGCATGCTTACTGCAGACTTTATCGGGACAATGGGGATCAGTATTCAGGGACATTATTCTGTAGAACCATGACAAGACATTGTGATTTTGGCACTCTCTTGCTCTAGAGACCTGCCGTCTGACCTCTGGCGACTTGCACAGTGGTTCACGCAACTGAGTAGGGGTGCTGGATTTTCTGATGTAAGTGGCTCCTGGCAGAAATCATGGCAGAACACTTAGAACTACAAAGGAACTCTACATTCTTGTGAATTTTCTTTCTCCAGGGCAGCCGGTTTGTTGTTGTTTATGATTTAAATTACTCCCCTTATTTATCTGAAACATCAGACTCACATAGCTCATAAAGTCTCCGAGAGACTCTGGAAATCCAGGCTGTTGGTGAAATTGCAATGAATTCCATTATGATAAAAACCCCTGCTTAACAAAACTGTCAGCTCTTCTCCAGCAGCTGGGAACTCAGCTACTGCACAAAGTTTCTGGGAATGCCATTTGATCTGCTTGTTAAAGAAAACCTTAGCTGGATATAATGGCACATACCTGTAATCCTAGCACCTGGGAAGCGGAGGCAGGAGGATTGCCTATACTGTGAGGTTAGCCTGGATTATTTAAGATAGTTTAGGTTCTCTGTCTCGAAAAAGGACCCTGTCCCACCAATGGCAACCAACAAAACGACAACAGAAGGAGGAGGAGGAAGAAGAGAAAGAAGAAGCAGAAGAAGGAAGAAGAGAAGGAGGAGGAGGAAAAGAAAAAAAAGGAAGAAAGGAAAAGGAAAAAGGAGGAGAAGGAAACTGATAGGAAGAGGGTGGGATGCCCTGGTAGAGGACACTAAAGCGAAAGCCATCAGCTTCCTCTCACTCCGCGAGGCTCCCTCGCTGATAATAGTTGTCAACACTCTAACCAAACAGTGCGCTATCCTTCACCAGGCAGGATTCCAATTACCTTACGTATAGATGCTGGCAGGGTGGTTGAACATTAGGGAGGGTTTCTGTAGACATGGTTCCGAGGGTCTCCTCCTTCGCACCCACAGCAGAGAAACCAAGACGGTGTTTCCCTCTGGTGGGAGAGACTTCTCACACAGTCAAGTGGGTGCCCCTTGTACTCTAAGGAGCACCACAGACTGCCAGACTGAGGTGTGTGTGGCTCAGGTTTGAGAAACCAAAACTGACAAAAAAAAAAAAAGCCTGCCTATCAATGGGAGGAGCAGCAATGTAGTCCCACAGAAGTCAAGCCTGAGAGAGTGTCGTGGGGTGGGATTGTGATCCACTCAATGACTGCCCTGAAAGGGCAAGCAACCTCAGCAGAAAGAGGCAAGAGATTTATTTCTGCAGGTCCAGGACTGGAAGCTAAAGCCATCAGTGGGAGGGTAAAGTGATCTTCCTGTACCAAAGGAAGAACTGGATGGTCAGCACCCACCTAATTGGCACTGGCAAGAAGTCAAGTTCTGACAAGCCCATGAAAATGACAGGAGAGTGTGGAAACACGGCCGTGGGCAAATGCATCTTGCCTGCAGGCCCTCGGAAACTGTTTCATTTCCTTAGCTTTCTTCCTCCACTTCTTCCTAGAGGAGGTGGCTAGCCACGGAAGGGGGAAAGTGTCAGGCTGGGAGAAATGTAGGGGTGTCTACATTACCCCCTTTCCCACTGGAGGTGATTTTTGTTATTAGCCTGTACCAGACATATTAATTACTGAAATGTCTGCATTTTTGACTAACGTAACCACAGACTCATTTAGTTCTTGAGAGTGGCCCCCAAAAGAAGAGGCCCTAATGCCTTCACTAATCAGGAGATAGGAAAGAGTTTACAGGCCAGTTCTGAACAGGGCCAGTGGGAAAGAATTTGACTGTTAATGAGTGTACCCATGTGGCTGGCTAAGTGTGCCAGGCTTAAGGCATTTCGTATCAGACTGTGAGCCTCTAAGGTCATCCCTGGGTCTTTACCTGAATCCTAAGGAAGCGATATGCATCATGAAATCCCTTTGGGTGGATGTATAATGATAATTTAGGATTTCCAGCATAAATGTTGTAAGGATATTGGATGAAAAGAACCGGACTCCTAAATGGAAATTTTACTGTCTAGTAAATACTGGTCCACAAAAGTCTCTTCATCTCTGATGGGCCCAGATTAGATGATTGTAAAGGTCTCCATCATTCAGAAAATTATATTTCAAGGAAGGTTACAAACCATACATCAAGGACTGATATTTCAGGTCCTACTCTGTCAGACTCAGCACCCACACTGGAATTGTTCTCTCAGCGTTTCCAAAAAATGGGGTTCTGACAAGGACAGCGGTGTCTTCCTTCAGAGGCAGACATGTGACTAGGGCTGATGTGATTGCCATGGTGACAGTCTCCACATTGTGTGCCAGGCATCACCTGGGAATCCCCACACACTATCCCATATTCCCCTGAGTGCTCATTGCTCTTGCCACTCTGCTCCGGTGGGAGAGGCTGAATTGCACAACATTGGTGACTGGCGTTCTTAGGGAGAACCTCAGCCAAAGAATGGATTCCAGGCTGTGGAATTCACTGTAGCGCCATAGGCCCTGTTCACTAAGAGTCCGCTGCTGTTGCTGCAAAGAACACACGCCAAGAAAGTGTGAAGGATTTTCATTTCAATCAATGCTTTCTTTGGACCTTTTAGCTTCGTGTGTTTCATTTATGAGAGGCATTCATTATTGACTTACTTTTTAAAAAAATCACTCTAAAGCAGAGGGCTAAAGATGAATAATTTTATGGTGTGGTATTCTTTTCATCATAAATGACTGCTTTTGAGGAATTTAACGAATTCTTATTCAGACTTTTTCGAAGTTCTAGCCAGGAGATATTTCAGTGGTAGGGTTTCGCTTTCTTACTCTGCATTCTGCTACCCAAGTACTCCATATCTCCGTCCCTATCTGCCCTGAGGCCCCATCAGCAGCTAAAGAGTCGGCAGCAATCCAGTAGAGACCTCCTGAATCCTGCCAGAAGTCTGATGCCTGCTCTCCTTTCTGCCATTGGCTGCTAAACAGTTTACTTATCAGCTCTGGATGCAGGCTCACTGAAAATATTCTCGCCTTCTCTCTGCCCCAGATAGCTTCTTCTTCCCTGCACTCCTCCCTCCTTATCATTCTTTCTACCCTTTCCCACTTTTTGAAGATGAGGGCCCCGACTTTACATCCAAGCCTACCACTTGCTACTCTCCTCTCCCAATTCTTTCTTATGGTTATCTAATCTACCTTCATCCAAACACAAGATTCTTCTACCCTCGGGTTACAAAACCCATTTCCTCCACTCTAAAACCACCTTCCATACCCACGGTGTGGCTCACACTCCCATCTCATCTTTTCCCTTTCCTGCATGGGAAATTCTCAAAAGTGTAGGTTTCGAGTGCTAGAAGTCTGAACTCCGTATGTCCTCCCTGTGAAACACTCCCTTGAAGAGCCCCAGGAAATGGCCTTGCAGGCACTGGGTCCTTCTGACAGCTGCTCGCCTTGTACCTCACCTTTCTGTCCTTCAATCTCATTGGCCAGTTATGCTTGGCTGTTCACGTCTGTAGTCCTAACGCTTGGGAGACTAACTCTGGATATTCACAAGTTTGAGGCTGGGCTGGGCTACACAGTGCCCCTTTGTCTAAGAAAGAAAAAGAAGGAAAAAGGAAGGAAGGAAGAAAAAAGAAAGAAAAAAAAAGTCTTGCTGGTTCTTTCACTCCTGTGCTGTTCTGGGGGTTGTCTGAAGTCTTCCTCTGGGTCTACATATGTCATTATATTTTGATAGAACTCCTGGAGTTACAGGCAATTATGACCTGCCTGATGTGGGTGCTGGGAGCAGATGCTAAGTTAAGATCTTAACCACTGGGGCTGGATAGCTCAGCAATTAAGAGCACTGGCTACTCTTCCAGAAGTCCTGAGTTCAATTCCCAGCAACCACGTGGGGACTCACAACCATCTGTAGTGGGATCTGATGCCCTCTTCTGCCATAACATTGTAGATAGAGCAGTCATAGACATTAAATAAGTAATTTTTTTTAAAAAAAGGTCTTAAGCATCGAACCATCTCTCCAGGCCAATTTTACTTTGAAAAATAGGTAGTTCTACCAAAATATAATGACGCATATATGTGATAATGGCATAATGAAGCCCATTACTTTGTATACTAACTAAAACAGCAGAAAAGAGAGAGAAAGAAATGAAATAAAACACAGTGTCCTACATCTTCAGTCAAAACATTGAAAATTTCCAAATGTACATACTGAAAACAATCCATAAACTTCCGTGGTCTCCAAGCTCTTCCGTTCCTTCCTGCTTCCAGTGCTAGTCTGTGCGGACCTCCAAGAAATATTTGTAGATGTATCCAAACATTATATTATTATGAAATTCTCTTTTCTGACTTAAAATTCTACCATAGGCATCCAATCAACCCATCAAGATAACATAGCTTGAGATATAATTCACACAGCACACAAAATCCCTTGCAAAGGTACAGTTCTATTTATTGTCGCCCTGCAGTTGCAATAAGGATAAATTTTCACCTCTGTTATCTCAAAAAGAAATCCCATCCTTCACCACCTCCACTTCTCTTAAAAAACTTGTCGCCATGGATTTTCCCATTCTGGTCATTTTTGCATAATTGAAATAATACATGTGGCCAGTTGTGTCTGGATCGTTTAACATAATCATCCATATTGTAGCTTGTACC